ATTAACAAATTCATGAAATGATTTCATTCCATTCCAATTCCACTTCTCCTATTCTTCATTACATTCTCTTCCCCATTCTCCAAGGCCTTTTAATATTTATTGAGTACCTACTATAGGCCAAGTGCAGAGTTCTGTGGGCTGGATATACAGCAGTGAAAAAGACAAAACAAAACCCTGATGAAGAGAGAGAATAAACACATAGACAAATGAATAAGGGGCACAGTGATAAAGAGCTTGACTAATGGGGTCAAAACTAATGTAGATTTGACACAAGGTTCTTCCTCTTCCTAGCTGTGTGACCTTGGGCAAGTTACTTAATTGTTCAAGAGTCTTGTCTGTAAAAACTGGACTAATAATAGTCCCTGCTCAGGGCTGTTGTACAGATTGAATAAGATAATGCACATAATGTCTTTAGCAGGGTGCCTGGTACATTGTCCAAAGTCAGTTAACTCTTATTGTTTTGCAAGCATCAGCATTATAAAGTTTATTTTGCCAATATTGCCATTGATGTTGAGTTCAGTTTCTTTGTTTATTCAACATTCAACAAACGGCAATTTAGAGATATTCTTGTGTCTCTGAGGCATTTCCCCTACCACAGTTGTGTTTCCTGGGCAGTTCCTGTTCATACCCAGCTTCAAATTTCTGAAACAGGAAGAGACATCAACAACAAAGTCCATCGAGGCTCCCAGCTCCTCAGTTAGGTATCTGAGTAGCTCCATAGGCTGGACAGAGTTAAGAATTTTATGAAACCTCACCAATACAATAAGTGGAAGTTAAAAAATAAACAACAACCATGAAAACTAAGTAGAAGAGCATAAGGATCAAGTGCTGAGAGCCAACTTTATGAGGTAGATCTACCAAATGATATGGCAGTTAAGAGATATGAAAAAATAATCTGTTCTTCATAGTTAGTGGGGCAAGAACATGTCATTCTCTGTTCTTGTGCCCCAAATAAATTTGCTAGGAATATTAATCTCATTTGACTGATATGTAAACGAAGGCTCAAAGAATTCAAATGAATAGCCCAAGGTCACTCTGCTAGTTGGTGGAAGGCCAGTGAGTCACAAGCCTAGGTCTTCAGACTCTTATGCAGCATCTCACAAATAGGTAGAATTTTATTTTTTTATTTATTTTAATATATTTTTATTGATTTGGGAGAGGGAGAGAGAGCTAGAAACAGCAATGATGAGAGAGAATCATTGATCGGCTGCCTCCTGCATGACCCCTATTGAGGATTGAACCCGCAACCTGGGCATGTGCCCTTGACTGGAATCGAACCCAGGACCCTTCAGTCCGCAGGCTGATGCTCTATCCACTGAGCCAAACCAGCTAGGGCAATTTTATTTTATTTTTCACAGAAACATTTAAAATGCTTAATCCATCCACATTCAATATTTCTTATTCTTTATTTTTAATGTGCCCAGTATATAAAATGCAAATAAACTTTGGTTCCATTTAAATGCCATTTACAGTATTTGTTTTTGTGCTAGTCACTGTTGTAATTTTATATTTGTTTATGTGATTACTTGATTAAGGTCTGTCTCTGCTGCTACATCAAGTTGGACCATGTCCATTTTTATCTATCACATAATAAGTGATCAAAATGTACTTGATGAATGAATGAATGATCCACTGTTGTTGATTACAGCCAGAAGGGAGGTCATAGGCATGTGGGTAGGTTTAGCCTTTGCTTTAAGCAGAAGCAGAAATGCCAGCGGCATTTTACATGGAAACAGTGAAGATGGGAAAAGGAATTACTTTTTAGTTGCTGGAGAGAATGAATTTGCTTGTACTGGTCTTAGTGATTGAAGTTCAAGGACAGGCTGATCTAAGCAGAGCAGATGCAGTTGCTAAGCAGTTGTCTACAGGTTACAGTGAAGTCAAGAGATTGTATAATTGATAAATCTCTACACACACACACACAAAGAATGGAGGGCAGTTTCTTAATGTGTGGTTCTCAACAGTCTGAATCAGAATAGCTGGCAGTTTGAGAAGGCAGATTCGTGCACCTAGACCTTCAAACTGGGGGAGGGGAATGCAAAAATCTGTATGTTTAACAAGCTTCTCAAGTAATTCTCACTTCCACAGTTTAAGAACCCCTGGGGTGGAATAACAATAGACCACCAGAAGGTCTAAGACTCCTCTAGGGCAAAGCCAGTATTATAAAGTGAGAAGGGAAACCTCCAAGAGACTAAAATAGCAACCAGAGAGCCAGGGTTAGAGTCCTTGTTAGGAACTGAGGTAAGTGAAAGTTTAAGAGCAAGGACATAGCTAAAAAAGTGTTCAGTGTAACAGAGATGTCAAGAATGAAGGTAGAAAAGACAGAAAAAAAAGGAATGAAGGTAGAGAAATGTTGTGCAAAGGTAGAGATGAAATCCAGATTTTGTGGAACCTGACCCTGTCCTGCAAGACCCAACTCAAAGCATTTCCTCTCTAGGGATGTATTTCCTCCTCCTCTGGACCAAGTTCATCAATTCTATTATAGCATTTTACCTATTGTACTGAAATTCTGTTTTCTTCCTCATTATAAATACTTGATTTTCTTCCTCAGACTGAGATTTCCTTGAAGGCAGGAACTGTCTTATTCCTTTTCAAATCCCCAATGTCGGGCATAATACCTGGCATACAAAAAATATCTGCAAATGCCTGCTGTATGAGTGATCAGAGAGCAATTGGAAGCAAAGAACACAGTCTGGCAGTGAAGGTAGAAGAATCCTATGTGTTTTAAAGCAAACAAGAACCAGGCAATTGATGCTGCTGGAGCAGGGAACAAGTAGGAAATCAGTCCTTCCAGAGCACAGAAGAGATGTGATTAAAACCACAGCTTTAGCTTTAAAAATCAGAAGGACAATTCTTTCTGTGAGTCTTGAAGGAAGCAAAAAAGGATGGGTGTAGAAGATACTGCTTAGCTCAGATGGCCCTACTCAGTCAGGAAGTTAGGCCTTTGCTGGGAATGAGGTACAGTAAGTGATATCTAGAGCTTGAAGAAAAAGGCAGGAAGAGTGTTGGTGGGAGTGTAGTGATAGATCAATAAGAGATTAAAAGATCCTATGCTATATCCTCAGGCATTGTTAAGAGCCTGTTATCACAACCTGACTCCTTTCTGTAGCCCTTGAAATAACAGGCTGCATCTATCAGTTGTGCTAATTGGAACTGGCTACCAGGCTTGGGGTCTGAAACTAAAAAAAGTTGGGGTTTCCAAATTTTAAGGCACTTACCACAGTCCATCTCCTATGGAAGCTATTTGTCTTTTTCTTGTTAGACTGTAAAGAGGTGAGGACAAAGGCTGTGTCTTATTCACTGTTGTGTTGTACCTTAGCATAGTGCTTTGTACGTAATAGGCAGAGGATGTCTACACCAGGCACACACCTTTAATGTAACATTTATCATATCATACTATGTATTTGTTTGTTTTTCTGTCTGCCTTTATAGACCATGAGCTCAAGGTCAGGAGTCAATCTATGTCTCTCTTGTGTTTGGAAATTAGTTTTGCAGACGTTTATTGAATCAAATTTTGTTGAAATGAATGCATGGATGATAGAATGAATAAAAGATAGCAAAATGTGGGAGTGTTGGGAAAAATCTAAAAAAAACCAGTGGATAGGCACTACACATTTCGTTACTGACACAATCATCAGTCTCATTTTGACATCAATAAGTGTGTAAAGCTGGTGGAAAATTACACTCAGGGACCTGTTTTCAAATACACTGTAAATGTTTGAATATACATTTTGGGTCTTGGTAAATCTCAAGCCACTCCCTTTCATGGTACAGGGCCTGGGTGAAAAGGGTAAGAGTACCACGCGGTTAAATGACTGCTACTATGAGTGCCTGCTTATATGGGATACAATGTTTCCTTGAGGATTACAATATAAGGCTGACATTGCAGGGGAAAATATGAAGTATGAAACAACATTGTATCAAAGCAATGGAAAGCCACTGCCTCCCCTTCTGTCAGGAAAAGTAGCTACTTAAAGGGCCTCTTTAAATTTTCATTTGTTTGTTAGGGCTTTTTTCCCCTCTTAAACCACGGGCTTGCACTAGTGAGCCAAGTAGAAAATAATAAAAGCTGACCCTTATATAGAGCATACTATATTATTCTATGTAATAATATTATTACATAGTATTATTCTATGTAATTTACATATATTAACTCATTTCTCTAATTTCTCATTATAACCCTAGGAGATTTGGACTTGTTGAAATTGAGGGAGAGAGAAGAAATGCACCGTGATCAAGGTCATAGAGCTAGAGTGGGGGAGCTGGGATTCAAACCCAAGCATCCTTGCTTCATACATCAAAGAGGTAAGTGTTTCGTTTAAATGTCTGGTTTACCTGTGTGAGTTGTAAAAGAAAAAATCATGTATCTTTTCTGATTATGATAATGTCAGCATTTATAGAGGGCCTATTATATGCCAGGGACGCTAATACACACTTACATTATTTCATTTCTTCCTCACAATAAACCCATTAGATACTACTTTTTAAATCCCCATTTTAAAGACAGAAAATTAAGGTACAGAGATTAAAATGATTCACCCAAGGATTGAATTTGAGACAGACTCCGCTACGAGCTTCTCAGTCTTTCCTGGCAGTAAAATGAGAGGACGGAGGATCTCAAAGTGATGCCATGAGAGTACAATGAAATAATGGATGTGAAAAGGCCTCGGTGAACAAGTGCAAGGGATAAGGCCTACCCATATGAATCACTGTTGAAAACTGGTCACCCGGGGTCTCTACCCAATGGTTTCTGGTCCTAACCCTGCTGTTTCTTCACCCAACCCACAGCTTTGAATCTCTTTCTGTATCTCGTCGGATCCTGCCCCAAACACTTGGCTGAGCGATGGACCGAAGAATAGAAGGTACGCGCGCGCGAGCAGGAGGCGGTGCCTGTTGCCCAGCTCCTAACTGGGGGCGGTGAGTGCACATGCGCTGTGATTCTGCGGCTTCAGTTGTCCCTTCACTACAGCCAATCAGAACCCGCGGCGCGTTCAGGCGTATAACGCCCTTTGAGTCGTTGCGTGCTGGGGGGAGCGACGTAAGGGCACTCCGCGAGCTCGTCTCCTCGAATGAAAGGAAACAACCTCCGGCGACAGAGCCCCGCTCTGAGGCGCTGCTGGAGAACCGAGACCGACTTCTTTCTCTTTCCCCTCATTGGCGCTTCTCCCCTGCCGTTCGCCTCTGGGCCCCGCCGGTGAGTCCCCACAGTACCCTGGGGCCCCCCATTCTATGCCTGGCGGGAGAAGACAAGGAGGATGGCGGTAGCCAGGCCGCCGCCCCTGCCCGTTGTTAAGGGGGAATCTTGGTGGTCTCGCTTTATTGTCGGGGACCCCAGAAGCGCCGCTCATTGAAGGCACTTGGCTTGGAGGCTGCTGAGAAAAGTAATTTAGAGGAGATAAGGGAGAGGTTAGGCTTAAGTCTAGACTTCGGGGGAGGGGGCGCAACATTTAGGGAGGAAAAATACTGGGTATTTCTAGTCTTTGCCGTTGCTTAGTACATATTTGGGAAGGAGGGAGACTCCCAGTTTGGGAAGAGTAAGAGGAAGAATTGTTAGGATGGCAAGAAGGTTAGCCTTACAGAAAGAGGAAAAACTCCGGGGTGGGGGGGATTAGGGGTGAAACAGATACGAAACCAAGACTTAGAGGGCGAACTCCTAGGGGAGGAGGGTTAAGGAAAGTGGTAGGATGATATTTTCCTGGATTCTGGTGGATTGGAAAAGGACAGTTAGGGGACCCTGACTTTACGACAGAAAGGAACCTGCTAAAGTGCTTTAGAGGAAGATAGTTTTGCGAGTTTATCTAGCGCTAGATTAGAGGGAGATCTTGGAGTCTAGTGTGTATTGAATAAATAACGGGGAGGATCTGGTACGTTATGGGTACTATCCTTTATTATATGCACGAACAGCACGGCGTTCTTTTGAAATTTGTTCCTTTCGATATTCTGTGTGGAAGTTGAAAAATCCTCTAGTAATTGAAAAACCCTTTCTTTTCATCGGCTTATGGACTTAATATCAGGTCTTATTCATACAGATCAAATTCTTTCTCTACCCTTGGGTTTGAAACAACTGGAAAATTCCTTCAGTTTCCTTTTGAATAACCGCAAGAAGCAGTGCGAAACATGTAATATCGTGCAACCAAATTCAGGTGCCCTTCCGGTTCATTTCTTATTCGTTTATTTCTCTCCACTGTAACTTTCCTGACATAAATACTGCTTTTGTGGGGATCACATTTACATATTTTGATCTGTATATTTCAACTGGCTTGCGTGTAGAATTGTTTGATCTTCTGGTACTGCAGTTTTTGTTTGTGTGTTTTTCTGTGAAAATGGTCTTTCAGATACCAGACATTGAATGTGCTCTCGAGTTAGCTCTTGAATGCTCTCCTTGATGTTTCAGTTTATTTCTACCTTGGTGTTTCACAGCATCTTGGAAAATCAGAAATGCATTGGTTGTTTCAGCTTAACTAATCGTGCTTTTATATTTTTCAGACATTTAAATTGCCTTTCACCGCTATTATCTTTGCCTCTTTATTTCTGCTTTATAACATTGCCTATAATGTGATGTTTCTTTTATGGAAAAGGTTTCATTGTTGGGTGAAGGCATCAAACTTTGATCTTTGCATGCCCTGAAAAACATTGTAAACTAAAATTAAAATGCCATGTAGCTGTGTGGATTATTATGAACCCCTTAATATTGGTCCTTGGAATGCCCTTATTCTCCTTAACTAGAAGACCACAAATGTGACAGCATTAGATAAAAATCTATATATTTTTATGATAAAGACATTTTTGCTAGGACTCATTGTTTCCATGATGATCTCCACTTCATGTTTTATAAGGAGGCTGAAAAAAAATTAGCAAGATGTGCACAGATGCATTATTTGAATTTTAGTGGAAAAATCCATTCAGTCATTGCACATTGGGGAAAGTTTTTTATTGGTTTTGTGCACTTTTGTGTGTTTCTGTTCATTTTACAAATTATATTTATACTGATTACAGAAAAAATACACTAAAATATCTTTGAATGCAAAATAAAATATACCTTCCTTCTCTTGGATTTTGGGATCTTTGATAGCCAGAAAAGCAGGTTCTCAAAATTAGGATGAGAAATTTACCTGTTTATAAACTGAAAGAGGCAGAATTCAATATGGATAAAATTTTGAGGGTACCATTTTCAGAATTAATCTCAAGAATAAAAAGTGATTTTCTACTTTAGGAATTTTCTTTATCTTAAGCCGATTTTATATCCTATGATAGCTACCATTGTATAGAAATTACACATTAATGATGCCTGTACAAATTAGATTCACAATGTGCCATCCTTTCAACTGGCCAAGGATGAGCGGGAGAAATGCTGAATGTATTACAATGGTTTCATAGTGCCTGCTATTGCATAGTAGAAAAAAACACTAATTTAGAACACAAATAGCAAATTTTGAGGCTATTTATTAATTTGGTGTTTTGCATAGTTAATTCTAAAGATTTTGGCAGCTATATTCTTGATAAAGCAACTGAACACATATTTGCCTGATCAAATGCAAACACACTTCCTCTTTTGTTTCTTTTGTTTCTTTGTTATGTTCTTTTTTCTCCTTTAATCTTAAAAGTATTTGCTGCCTATTTTCAATCAGTTTCACAGTTTATAACCAGTGCTGTGAATTCAGTACCATTTTATGCTATTTGGAAGACTGAGGTATTTAAAATTGGCATTAAAAGTTTGTTAAACCCATCTACACAGAGACCTTCAGGGCCTTTGAAATTTTGTTAAAAAGAAAAAAAATCTAGATATAAATTGATAAGAACTCTTTGTGGCTTCACTTTAAATTTTGATTAAGTATCTGCATTTTTATATTATCAAGTGCTAAATGGTTTGTACCTACTACCTTGCTGACATCCAGTGTTACTGTTCTTGGTAAGTGCATCTCAGAAAGCTACAATATTGTGTTAGTGAGTCTATTTTTTCAACATGGTATTATGAAAATATTAAAATATATCAAAAATTGGAAAATATAGTAAATTTCAAGACAAAAACTTGAGATTTTATTCATTGTGATTTATTTTGTGGCAACCTGGTTCCTGAACTGCTTACTTATGCTGATTTGGAAAAACTACACAAATCAAGTAACTGATTTTACATTTGTTTAATACTTCTGAAGAATCTGTGTTGAGCTTGATGATCTAAATCTGAAACCTTATTATGTTAGAGCTTTTCTTCCCTTTTTTGTTTGACTATCCTACCTATAATTATAGTTTGACTGAATTTAAGACTGATTCAGAAATATGTTCCTACCTTTATACAGTATTACTAAGTAAATGTGAAAGTTATTGTATTTAGAATGCTACTTTTAGTTTACAACTTTAATAAGCAGACTTTTGGAGTAAATCTGAGTCAGATAATACAGTTATTTTTATAAATAATTAATTTCCAAAGTTTACATTTTTGAATAGACTTTTATAAGCCTAATTTTTTTCTTTACTTAAAAATGTAATACAATAGCAAAAATTCACTTATTAAAGACATATACATCATTTTTTAACTTGAAAATAATTCAAGTTTAAAAATAAGTGTTCCAAAGTCATCATTAAGTACATTTATTTCTTTCTTGTTTACCAATATGTAAACTTTAAGGAATTATAGAATTCTGTTCATTCTGGGCATTGTATAGTTGTAGTTTTTGTTCTTCTCTTAGATATATAATGTTTTGTTTCCTTGAAGGAGCATCTGCCTACACATGAAAAATATGTTGCATTAATTTTGTTAGCAGATGATGGATTTAATATCACACATTGTACATTTTTTACTTATCCAGGCAGAAATAGTTCTAATTCACATATCTCCTAATTTGGGAGCAGTTTGATTTTTCTGAATTTCATTAGATTATACATAAATACATATTTTTTTCATTATGGAGGCATCTTAAGTTTTAATAGTGATTTGTCTAAAATCACTAAAAAGCCATTTAAAATGCATATATTAGAACTTAATTACGATATCAAACAACTTACCTGACTATGTGTACACTGATTTTAAATGAAATTAACCATTTTGTTGCTCTTCTTATTCTCTGTAGCATTTCTTGGGGCTTATAAAGTGGCATTCTAAAGGCAACTTAAAAATCATGTCAAGTTCAGTTGAACAGAAAAAGGGGCCTACAAGACAGCGCAAATGTGGCTTTTGTAAGTCAAATAGAGACAAGGAATGTGGACAGTTACTAATATCTGAAAACCAGAAGGTGGCAGCACACCATAAGTGCATGGTAAGTATACCAGCAGCAACTGAGAGACTTGAAACCATAAGAATATTAACAATGAATAGTCCTGAATTCTTAAAAAAAATGAAGAAAAACTCAGTTAAATTTTAAGAATATTTCCTTTTAAGTTTAACATCTTATTCACTGTTTCACTGTAATTTCTTTATATATGAACCTTATTTTTTTTTTTAAATGTAATTTTAGCTCTTTTCATCTGCTTTGGTATCATCACACTCTGATAATGAGAGTCTTGGTGGATTTTCTATTGAAGATGTCCAAAAGGAAATTAAAAGAGGCACGAAGCTGGTAAGTTGGTATTTCTGCTTCTTGCAAATAAAATTTATTTTAAGCTCATTAGTAAAGAAATTGCTTATTTTAAAGTGTATTACCTTATTAATTTAATTTAATTTTAAATTGCAATCTTTTTTTCTCCCCAAACCAGCAAATTTCAAGGCTGGATTTAACTTACCAATTAACAAAAGGAGTGGATCACTTGAAATTATATAATGTTATTAAACAGCGTCACCCCAATAAATTTATTTTAAAATAGCAAATGTAAAAAAAAGTGAATCAATATTCATTTTTATTCTTTTAAAAAATAATTAAAATCTTCTTGGAGGCTGTATTGACTTAGAAAACAAGCAGTTTGCTTAATTTGAATGTATTATGTGTTAAAGTTTTCATTTAAGTATATTTTTACAATTAAATTTTGATGTGTTTTCACCTATCATAAAGTAATTGTCATTACAAATGAAGATGACAGTAATCTTTCAACAGAAAAATGTCAGCAGTTGCTGAACAAAGTATCGAACTGTGATTCAGGTATATTACCCAGCATTTATGACTTTTGATAACTTTTGGTGAGTTTTACAGTTTTTCTGAAGCTATGCAAGAGTAATGTTCCTATAGCTGTCTTCACTACCAGTAACCAGATTGGCAAGATACTATATTGTTCTATTGGAAAAGTAGTGTCATTTCAGTTGATATATTTTTGATACATTATCGTTTGCATTAAAACAGTTTCTTTTCATTTGATTTTTTTGTCTCCTTTGAACTCCTTAGTGAAATTGCATCTGTAAATGTACCTCCAGTAGCTTCACTATGAAGTGTTTCATTATTTTAAAGATGAGTTTGACAGAACATATATCTCTCCTCTTGGGAACTAAGTAATCTCATTTCACAAAGAATCTGATGGGAAGTGGAAGCTATCATTTTGATGATCAGGAATTATTTTGAAAAGTAGTCAATCTTTTAGTATTAGAAAAAATAATATGAAGAAGTTCAAGAACAACATTTGAGATTTGCTTTAAGATAAATATTCTTAAATCCTAGAATCAGTACTGGCACAAATAGAAATTTAGAAGTCAGACTGTTTTTGTTGTAATGAGATCTTAACTGAAAATGTTTATCTTCCCCACCCCCAAAACTGTAGATACCAATAGAATGCTCCATTTTAATTTGATTTTTATTTGTTTAAATGTGGCTTTAGATTTCATGTTGCTGTGGCTTACTGACCTGAGAACCAGAATAGCATGTTTTTATTTCCTCGTCCTTAAAAACAAAATCAGATACAAAGAAAGAATACTATTTACTTGATGGTGGGTGTACTGTAAGCCTTATCAGTCCATTATTTATTCCTTGGCACTATGAAATGCCTGGAAAATGCTTCCACATCCTGACTTGTTACAATTTTTTTGTCTAGTTAGAGCAGGAACAGTTTTGTTCCCTACTGTTACAATATTAGTAACAAACTAGAGGCCCGGTGCACGAATTCATGCATGGGTGGGGTCCCTCAGCCTGGCAGGCGATCAGGGCCAATCGGAGCCGGCCTGCCAGGGGGAGAAACCGCAGGAGGTTGGCTGTGGGAGCGCACTGACCACCAGGGGGCAGCTCCTGCGTTGAGCGTCTGCCCCCCCTGGTGGTCAGTGCGCGTCATAGCTACCGGCTGGTCGTTTGGTCATAATGGTCACTTAGGCATATATCTATCTATCTAGATCTAGATCTAGATCTAGATATAGATTAGATATAGATATAGATATAGATATATAGCCTAGTTTTACATGAAGCAGCAGCATACATCTGGCAGTATTGGTAAATTCAATGGAGATTTAATCCATTTGGACTGTGTGTGAAGAAAGCATCAGAACTTTGTGCAGGTTTCACTATTATAAGTTGATTAATTTTTAATGGTATAGTGAATGGAGTTGATTCCCCCCCTCCTCAAGTGTAGTGAGTTATACATAACTTATTCCTTGATCTAGGGAGTGGAACAATATTGGAGATAAAAACCACAAACTATAGTAAAAGTTTTGTATTTAAATCCCAGCTTTGTCACTTATTAGCTGGTTGACCCTGGGCAAATTATTTACTTCTCTACGCCATGTTTTCATCACCTGCCAAAAGAAGATAACAACAGTCCTTGTACTTTTCTCACAGGGATAATGTGAGAATTAAGAGAGAGACTATATAGGACTAAGCATGGTGCCTGACATGTGGTTAGGACTTGATAAATAATAGCCACCATTCTAGGTATTAATTTTAAATAATAAGGTCCAGCTAATATTATCATAGGCTAATGAAGAGCATGCTGGGCTGGGAAGTCATGGAGCCCATTTTTTAAATAACTCTGCCACTGATACATTATGTAACTTTAGATAAGTCATTAACTTATTTTTTCACCCATGGTAAACAGATAATGCTGTATCACTGCTTACTAAACAGTGATGTTGCATAACAAAAAGTGCTATAAAATATACAGAGTTTCCTTAGGTGTTTTGAAGCCATATTGAGGCTGTGGGCATCTGGCATTGAAGAATAATGGCAGAAGGAGAGAACTTTGGAGCCTGACTATGTAATTTTGCTCCTTTTCCTCCTCCCAAACTGTCAAAATTTAAATAACTTACGTAGGGGACAGGACTAGAGCAGTATTTATATGTTTAACATTGAAATTATTTTGAAGTCTCCTTTTAGCCTTTAGTTTTGCTCCTTCCATTATATAATTTTATATGAAGTATTATCAAGTAACCAAAATATCAAATTTTAGTTTTTTTCTTTACTCTTTCCTTTGTAAATTTGTCTAAGTAATAAAAGGACCATAAATCAAATAGGAAGGGAGGGAAAAGTGAAGAACTTCATGTAGGTAGATAAGCTACATATAAACTAGATAATCAGCGTCCCTAATTGAGTTTTTAAAGCAATTTATCCTGTGAGCCTGTTTGTCCTGGCTCCTGTTTATCTAGATTTCTAGGTGAAAAGTAGGTCATGAATACTCATTGAAAATAATCGAAAACAGGAGTGCTGGTCCCTGGGTGCTTTCAAGGCAGGTTCTAGTCTATATTTGGTGTTGGCTCCAGAGTTGCTCACTTGCCCCAAAGAAAAGTAGAGAGAGAAGCGGTTAGGGCTTGATGTGAAAGTGTATATAGGTGGCCAGATGGGTCAGTCTTGAGAGGATGGGAGGTTGCAGTAGAGCGGGAGGTATGGTTGTGTGGTTTCTATGTTCATGCTGCCAAAGGCAAATTTCCAAGGTTTTCATGTTTGCCACAAGGATCAGGGGAGGAAAAACCATTCCACAAGAATGTATTCATCTCTTTTTACATCACCTTTAACTATATAACCCCAAGGTGGACCAGGAGAAATTTGGCAGAGTATTGAGGTTTTTATAATTTGAGACTCTGTTTTTGCAGTTAAGACAGATACACATTTTTCCAGAATGGTTTCCAGTTCCTGTTGAAGCCTTATGGAGACACCACATCTGTACCACCTACTCTTATTCTCCAACCATCTAGCCAAGAAATGCAAATTTCCAAATAAAATTATGAGTTACCACTATTTTCATTTTGTTTAAGGAGACACTTGAAAGCAGTATATTTGAAGAATGTACTCTTTCTGGATGAAGTTGGTGGTGAGATCATTAAGAGTATCTACATCAGCCCTGACCGGTTTGGCTCCATGGATAGAGCATCGGCCTGCGGACTGAAGGGTCCCAGGTTCGATTCCGGTCAAGGGCATGTACCTTGGTTGTGGGCACATCCCCAGTGGGGGGTGTGCAAGAGGCAGCTGATTGATGTTTCTCTCTCGTCAATGTTCCTAACTCTCTAACCCTCTCCTTTCCTCTCTGTAAAAAATCAATAAAATATATGTTTAAAAAAAAGAGTATCTACATCAGATAGTTACTGTTCTAATTAGTACCTGGGTCAGATATGTCACAGACTCTAGGAACAAAAGGAGTTCAAAAGGCTATTTCATTCTCCTTCCTTACTCCTAGGCAAGACTGCTAGAAGCTATCCAATGTAAGATTTTTGTCCTATTCTTAAATATATCAAGAAATTGTAATTCTACCCAAGCAATCTGGAGCAGTATTATATAACACATTTCAGAGTTGAGAAATTCATCCTTCTGTATAGCTCAAGTATCTTGCTTAATTTTTTAAAAAATATATTTTTATTGATTTCAGAGATTAAAGGAGAGGGAGAGAGAGATAGAAACATCAGTCATGATAGAGAATCATTGATCAGCTGCCTTCTGCAGGCCCCGTACTGGGCATCAAGCCCACAACCAGGCATGTGCCCTGACTGGAATCAAACTGTGACCTCCTGGTCATAGGTTGATGCTCAACCACTGAGCCACTTCAGCTGGGCCATCTTGCTTAATTTAAAGCCATTTATGCTAGATCCTTTTCCAATCAAGGAACTGTTTGTTTGTTTTATTATTAAAAACTACAGGCCCAGTGCATGAAATTTGTGCACGGGGACTCCTAACTGCCCTCCCTGCCGGCCTGGTCACTCCCAACTGCCCTCCCCTGCTGGCCTGGCCGCTCCTAACTGCCCTCCCCTGCTGGCCATCTTGTGGCGGCCATCTTGTGCCCACATGGGGGCAGCCATCTTGTGTGAGGGTGTGATGGCCAATTTGCATATTACCTCTTTATTATAGAGGATTATTATATAGGATAAAAAATTCTCACCCAGTCAGTGTGGCTCAGTTGGTTGAATGTTGTCTCACACACCAAGAGGTTACTTGTTTGATTCCCAGTCAGGGCCCATGCCCAGGTTGCAGGTTCCGTCCCCAGTAGTGGGAGTGCAGGAGGCAACTGATCTATGTTTCTCTCTCATCAATGTTTCTATCTATCCCTCTCCTTCTCTCTCTGTCTCTCTAAAGAATCAATAAAAACATTTTTTTAAATGAAAAATTCCTCATGTATCTCATGACTATCCTCAGGTCACTCCTAAACTTTCCCCTTTTCAAACTAAATTTTACTCACATGTATTAAGAAATCCTCTGAATATGCTCCTGCTTTTTTCAATAGTAGA